GTAAGTAATGATAAATGGGGTAAGGCGTAGTTTGTGATTATAGCTAAATATACAACAAAATACGTGTCAAGTCCCTTAAAATATTGAATTCTATTACTCAGGGGCTTATAAGTAAGTAGCTTAAGCTAAGAGGAGAGAGAATATGCGGCTTACTGATAAGGTAGGTATTATGTAAAACTATACCTGAGAAGCCATCCTATTTTTTACCCTGCTCAATATCTTTATCCATAAGGGTGACAAATCTGTATGATTCATCCGATGTTGTGTGGACAGCAATGAGCTAATGTTGCGTGAGGTTGTATAATAATTTACGCGTTCTATTGTTAACTATATTCATTTAGAATCTCTTGAAGGTCCACTGTTTTATCTACTTAATAAATTAGACACACGTTACAGTCGTGAACAAATAAATAAATCATGCTACATTAACACGAATGAGTTTACAGATCACACACGTGTTAAACGAAAATTTATGTAAGATCTGTTCGGGGTTGTTTCTGAAATTCCAATTATAATTTAAGGTAGATGTTAAAAATTACAATACATTTACCAATCAATTATTACATAATATAGGTAATGCTGTTTTCTAATTTAAACCGTAGTATTTCCAAATTATTTTTACTAAGATATACGTCGGTAATTCCATATATTATTTTATTATTATTACTTCTATATTAGTTTCATCTTTTTTTGCAACTTTCTTCGTAGCCCTGGTGAAGACTTGCAACACAGGCCTTCTTCTGACGGACCATCTTCTTGATCTATCTTCTGTCAACCATTTGCCAATATAATAAAATAGAATAATAAATGAGAGGAGTAATTATACGTAGTTAATAAACTTATTTATTGCACGTAGCAGATTTAGCTTTACCTATTCACTTCGGTATATCAATTATTTATATATATCATATAAGTTTATGAATATATCTTTTTTCCGTTAGGTTTTTTAAATCGTGATATTGCATTTTTTTCCCCTGTTTTGATGCTCAGCCTTCTCAATCTCTGTTTATTTATTTCCAGTTATCTGCAAGCAGCAACTATAGGATCTTAGTTGATTCGATATATCCATCTGGTTTTTGTTCTTCTACGTGGTCTTTTGACTACTTCTTTGTTGTCTGGAGGCTTCTAGACGGATTTCTCCAGGCTACATGCCTTGCCCATCTTAAGCTCCTTTCCTTCATCACAGAAGATATTGATTGGCCAGCTTCTGTAAGCAGTTCTTTATTGGTCCTCCTCTGATACACTCCGGCTATCGTGTGGAGCATTTTTCTCTCAAATCTTTTAACACTTCATTCAAGAGTGCTGGTCAGTGTCCAGTTGTAAATCAGAACTAGCTTTGTCATAGCATTGTACGACTTTAATGTTCTTAAAATACCCTTAAACGTCTCTAAATTTTCATACCTTAAGAAGGACTGTTTCCGCATGTCATATGTAGATCTGTTTCCGAAAGGTGATCATTCATTGAGGTTATTGTGGAGACGAGGTATTTGAATAATACATAATATGTAAAATATATGATATTTTAAAATATTAGGCTGTTTAGTTATCAATATTAACTCTTCTTGCTCTATACTTCATGATATGTACTTGATTTATCAAGTGAACATAAACTTGGACCCTTTGAAGGGAATCAATAATCCAGCGAAATAATTAACTGGATGGACTGATACAAATGAAAGAGACGCCACACCCTCTCAGATAGATATAAGATAAGATGAACTCCCCACCGAAGCGTTATCACTGGCAGAGTCAAATGGCGTTCATCCGGCTCACTATTTTACGACTCACTTATCAACTATAGTGACTTTGTTTATGAGCATATATTTTGATATTAGCCGCTATGTTTGGAGATTAATTCATTAAATTATTAATTATAACCAGTGTTGATTTTAAATAAAATTGAACCGAGCAAATATGTAATAAGAAACAAAATAATACACAGTGTGGTTTCACAAAAAAAAAAAAAATACAAGTAAGCAAGGCTAACAAGTGAATTTCAAGAAGCCGGCGGATGGATTTTTAAGATTTTTTCTTGAGGATTTAAAATTTTTGACAACTATTTAAAAAACGCTGCAAATTATTTCACAATGGTTTAATATTTCCAAAAAATTATACATCTAAAGCAACATTACCTTCCGAGTTACAAAGAAAAAAAAACAAAAGGTGATTCCAATTATTGGACTAAACTGTTTTTCTTTAATCATTAGTAATATGCTAAAAAAAAAAAAGCATTAGTTCAGTAACACATTCAAAATTTAAAAACGAAACCAAGGATATAACATTTGGAGTAGAACATATAAAAAAAACCGGAGACCATATCTTAGTTCCTAATTGTCCGATTTTAACGATTTTTAGAAAATTTCGTAAACATTTAAAAAACAATACTGACAAAAAGTGTGAACTTTTTGAGTTAATCGGAATTTAATTTTATCATCCCTCGTAACTTTTTTTCCAGCTTCTTTTCCTTGAAGTATGTTATATAGATAAATTTAAAGTCGAGAAAATGACTTTAGTGAAGTTTCATTGAAATCTGTACATTCGTTTAGGAGCTACAGTCTATAGCAACGCAGGTTTTTCGGCCGCCATTTTGAAAGTTAAAGGCGGAGAGTAATGCGATGAGGAGGATCATCCTCGTGTGATCTCTGATTTTATATCAAAATTTGAAAAAAAAATCGGTCCAGTAGTTTCGGAGAAAATGCGCGGACGACGGACGGCCAAAAATTTTTTATTCGTTTTTCGAATTCTACGCGTCCTGAATCGTGAAACCTTTTGAGAGGGGGTTAATGTTTTTGATATTGATAATAAACCAAAAAATATTAAAATGTTTATGAATTTGATTAATTTATACTGCTTAATACAATTGCCTTTCTAACTATGGTATTAACTTGGCTAATTTGGTCCGACTATGTCATTAAGATATTATCAGAGAGAATCTGTGATTTTTGTGCACTTTATTTTAAAAACGGTTTTACAAAAAAAAAAAAAAAAGTAAATTTTTTTTTTACTCTATAATTAACATAAAAAAAGGTTCTTGCTAGAGGACCAGAATAGAAAAAGCCAGAATCATTATAGTCACTACTGATGGCAATTCGAAGGGATCTAAATTTAGAACGGCTGTAGGATATTAGCAGGTTTTTTTTTGGCCCTGATGAAGTCACAGTCGCACAAAAGAAACAGATTTGAACGGAGGCAATATACGAGAAAGTAGATTGCCGTAAACAGAAAGCAATCAAGACTCTTTCGTTTATTGCTCCAAGGAAAGATTACTTTGTTTATGATAGGCAACTCAACAGGCTTTGGGCCATAAGAAAGAAAATATTATATTTTTTTCTCAGTTTTAGGCCTTTTCTATGATGCAGAAAACACTACAAACAAATTATATTGATGAAGAACAACATTCACGATAATAACCAGGGTCTATGAATTGATTTAATTTTTGAAAATATCATTTTAATATTTTTATATTACTATAGATAGAAAGCAGGAACAGAGAATGGCAACTTCAAATAAGTTTTCTAAATTTCCAAAAATGTCTTTGTTTATATAGGTAGATATATATTATTCAAAGCTTAGTTTCTTCCTGGTTATGCAATTATTGGTTGTCATTTCCCAATGTACTATATTGTTATTACTGTATTTATTTATGTTTCTATAATTATGGTATGAATGTCCTTTCTGAACTCTATTATAAACATCATGAATTGAGACAGATTGTAATATTTTTCAATAAATAAATCAAATTTGGAAATGGTGTTCCAGAGGAGACTGGCCTAATAATGTTTCTAACCATAAGAGACCTGGGCGTGCTATTAATCTTAAGTGAAGATACTAAAGGTTAAACGGTTTGTGATTGTTTTAAGTATGAATGACGAAAAAAAAAAATTAAAAAGTAATTAAAGGAAGGAGATGGTCCGGGGTTGCGGTCATAAAAAGGCTAAATAGTGGTAAAACTATTTCATTAAAAGCCAACGTTTCTACCCGACTTTGCAGGTCTTCATCAGGGCTAGAACGGACAAGATACAAAAAGATAGAGAATTGTGGCAATTACATAATATTTAGACATAATTTATAAACAATGTGGATAAGCTTATTAGAATTATAAACAGTAAGTAAAATAAAATATGGACTAAGTAAGCTGAGTAACAAGATCCTAAACTAAAGTAAATAGATGCTAACAATTGTTGTAGTGCAATATATAATAAATGAAAATGTGAGTAAAATTCTAGCCCTGATGAAGACATAAATTATGTCTAAATATTATGTAATTGCCACAATTCTCGATCTTTTTGTATCTTGTCCGCTCTAGCTCTGATGAAGACCTGCAAAGTCGGATCGAAACGTTGGCTTTCAATGAAATAGTTTTATCACTATTTAGCCTTTTTATGACCGCAACCTCGGACCATCTCCTTCCTTTATAATGCAACGGTCTACTATAAAATATTCAATAAAAAGTAATTAGTTTTATTACGTCATCGTTAATGACCAACTAATATCCTGAAATCTATTAAGATGGGGCATTATTTCAACAAGACGACAAGCCACGAAAAGAACTGAAGATATATAGATTAAATATCTTAAATTAAATATCTTCGAATTATTAATGATTTAAAAAAAAACCCATTAACCAAGGAGGAAGAATGTAAACAAACAGTGAGATACAAATAAAAGATTAAGCGGATAGCGATGTTTAAAACCAACCACTTCTCATAACGGTTACATATTCTACGGATTTCATAATTTATCAGTTTTTCGAAGGGTAAATATCTAGGAAGCGGTAGAATCGATTTCACCATCTGGAAATATACAGATAAAAGGAACAGTGCATTCACTTACAAGTGAAAGCACATTCTCCGCAGTCTGGATTGCCATAATAAAGTCGTGAGAAAATAAATTTACATAATAATAATAAAACATACATATAGCGCAAGAATATGCAGTAATTATAGAGAATTAAAAAAACATTAACGTTGAGTTATTGCCACGAAAATCGATGGATATGTTCAGAGATATTCGACAAATTGGAACATCGGCTTCTGGATTGCTGAGATAATCCTCCAAAGCAGCCCTGACAACTATACATCACCCGACGCTGAGTCATGTCCATGCTAAGTAAATCTGTGGGGATGGGAAGGACAGGAGGGAACCCTCCCAACGGCGGGGAGGGTACTGCGAGGGGCTGAGATCTCAACTGAGAGGGGACTCGGGAGGTAAAGTCATTTACTAGATATCAACTAAAATAAATCGTCTAGGACTAGCTCTAGGAATTCCTGAGGATAAGGGAATGCCAGGGACTCTGTATTAGAACGCATCAGTAGTTAATGATAGAGAGAATGTATACGATGATATAGACGACTTAGTTTATCTTTTCAAGTATCAAACCCAAATAGAAGACTGTTAAGTGCGATAGAAAAATGGAATGAACTAAAATAAGAAACATAAAAAGGGCGAAATCTATAAATATATATTTAAAAAAAATTAAAAATAGAAACATTCCGGTAGGGGTGCCCATCTCAAGTCTGACGGCGCATGCCCCATCTCCTAAGAAAATTTATTGCTGTTTTATTTACAACAGTCCAAATAAAAGCACAATTAAAATATATATATGGTTTGGTCATTTCTCTTGTTTCTTGGTTTGAATGTTTTCCGAAATAAAAATCACCAAAAAATATGGTTCCTTTCAAAAATCCACAACCCCATAAAAATGTACGAACCCGTGAAAATGTGCCCCCTCATAAAGTTGGGCACTCCTACTTTCCAGCGAGAACAGCCTTGATGTTTGATTGGGATAAATTCCAATTACCAATTGAACGAATTCAAACTTATAAACAATAAAACTTATTTACTAAAACGTTATCACTTCTCATGCCCAAGTATGGTATTTTATCATCACAAGGAGATGTGATACATCTCATAGAATTTAGTTTTTGATTAAAAAAAAAATCAAAATAAAATACTAAACTAAGAGCCCACCCACAAAAAACTTACTAGGTTTACAACAAATAATAAAATTAAATAAATACAATACATTAATATGATGCTCAAATTTTTAAAGGGATGTAGTTTTTATTACAAATCATAAGAAAGTTTCGTTTTTATTGGTTTAATAAATAAACTATCAGTATATAAAAAAAAAAAAAACAGGTTCTTTATTAGGAACCAATTTACAAAGAACAGAATAGAATTAACAACTTTCCCTATATTTTAAACATATGCTATTGAAATAAAAGATTACAAAGACAATTCTGTTTCTTTATTACATTGCAGTCTCCTTGTAAAGGAGGGAACGGAAAGGTTGTTACAAAAAAAATATATATACAGATTTTTAATGTTAATTATCTTAAAAGGATCATTGACGCTAAAATTATTTATTATTAGATTGGAATTTTTTTTCGTTTCTTTCATCTAAGTTCTCTTCAATTTGTATACATATAAAGAGGTAACATATAACCCAAATATACACATATAACCATAGTTTCTAATATTCCGTATGTCTTTCACGTCCACTATCAGCCAACTGAAGGTCAGAGAATAAGGTCAGTTCAAGGCGTCAGAAATGGTAATTTGTTTGTGTGAATAAACCCAACTAAAGATTCTTTCTGCAACCTTTTTTTTTCTGAACGATTTGTAAATTTTTATAATTATACAGAAAACATTTAATGAACGATAATTGCGTCATGAAACTCACTGCTGTTAGAAGTACTCCAATAAAAAAAAAAGTATTTGAAACCAGTTACTAACATGTTAATTTAATTACTTAAGTACAATTTATATTGAATGATAAAAATATGTTGTCCCCAATATCCAAAATAGGTTAGGGAACGTACAGATAGCCTTCATTTTAAGGCGCGTACGATGAAATGGCGATAATTAACATAATATTCGAGGGACAAAAATATCAATTAATTGGAACATTCTCTCGTGTTCTACATTTTAATAAGAGGTTAAAGGAGGCAATTTAAATGCATTTAAAAAATAAAAATACATCCATTCAATAAGACTTTATATTTAATAATTAATTTGAAAATAATAAATTTTCATCTGCCCTTAATAAATTAAATTTAATTGGATGACATAGTAGTAGTGAAATTTTCGAGTTAAAATATAAAATACAACATAAAGAAAAACTTCATTTATAAATGAAATTTATAAAAATATATAAAGATAAGTTATACTGTTTACAAAATCCTGGAGATAATTTGATCTGGTAACACATTGCTGTAATATCTTAATATCTTATTTTGATTTTATTCATTTTTTTTTAAATAAGTCTAATTATTTATTTAGATATTATAACACCAGTATTTTATACAGTATACGCCTGGGTAGTTTTACTTAAATTGGTACAAAGTGTACTTAGAACGAATGATACTATACAACTTTTACTTTATTTCTTCTCTCAGAGCCATTTGTAACAATAGGTCTCAATTTTTGACGAAGTTGGTACAAACTGATGTTTTCTAACAGATCACTTAACAAAATTATTATGTCATGGTAAAAATTCAACGCAAAATTTAACGTTATTCAATTTCATTAAGAGGCATTTTCTCGCTTGGAAGTACCGTTTTACTGTTATATATGAAATATAAAAATAAAAGTTTCAAAATTAAAAAATTTTTAGGTTGTATAAGATCTACCAACATTCCTCGGAAACAAAATAATTGAAAGAAAATATGTTTCAGCCATATATACAAGTTACAAAACTAAAAAACTTCTATATTTTCCCAAAATAACCCCCATTTCTGATTGACCTAATATTTTCGAAATCAGCATCTTTGTATGGCAAAAAAGAACCATTCCATGGGTGATAAATAGTCAGGATGCAGTAATTTTATGATCTATATTATTGATATGAATAAAATTATAGTTGCCAACGTTTCAACCCAAGCATGTCGGTCATCATCATGTTACCAGTACTATTCAACAACAGATTATTAAACGCCTTCAGTGCTGATATTTAGAACAATCGAATACCTTCCTTTAGTGAAGACTCACATTACTTATAAAATATTCACTTTCGTAATTCACTGAATTCTATAAATTACTAAACTACATTACTTCTATGACGTATATAATAATGTTATTTATGGATGAAACATGAATTTCAGGAATTTCAGAGACAATTTTTGTTTCATCCTTTAATTGATTAGTCGACTACTTACACATTTCTAATATTATTTATAGTCATAAAATGTTCGTCAATAAAAATGGTTCAAATTTCGATCATTTAATGTTGAGGAAATTATTGAAAACATTAGGAGAGGATACGGATCAATCGAATAAGAAGCAACTACCTACGTAAATGATGAATATTTTTGATGCATTTGGAATAGTAACAATATATAAGATATCTAGAATATAAATTCATTATTATATAAAATTAAATAAGAGCCTGAATATAAAAACTCACAAAACCTAAAACCTACTAAAAGATGATTTCGTGTCATATGACACCTCTAGGGGATGTCTTTTTAATTAGTTAGTACAAACACGGTATCAAGGTGGGCATGCCCAGGTGTATGGTGGATTAATGCTCCGAGAAAACCACACAATTTAATAAAAATTCCATTTTACCGCTTTACTTTGACTTATATCAACTTAATGTGATTAATGTGATAACGGTGTAATTTTTAAATTTTATATATTAACGAAAAGATTATCAATAGTTGCCTTCTTTTTTTAAATAAATCTAAACAATTCTATTTATTCAATCAGAAACATTAAGACAACATTGATGAAGTTTAGTTTCCCCATTCAATTCGAGTTGTCAAATTAATGAACAAAAATGAACACAGAATCAAAATGAGATAAGCAAAAATTAACCGAGAGCAGCTTTGTGGAAAAAAAAAAGAAAAAAAAAAAAGACGCCAGCTGAAATCTGGAAAGGAAGGTGAGATGCGTTAAACAGATGGTCAAGGGTAAACTCAGCAGGTCAAAGTGACCACGGGAAATATTTTTTGTTTCTTACTGGAACAACACGTGTTAAAACAGAAGTCAAGAATTCAAGAAGTTAAGAGTTAATATTATAACTAAAAAAAACAACAAAAAACTAATAACGAATACTTAGGTTTTTGTTACTTAATATTAAACTTTTGTTTGATTCATTTTGATTATATTCGATTGTAAATATCTATAAGTCACAAAAAGTGTATTCGTTTACTTATTATTATTTTATGGGAATGATTGAATTATTCGTAAATACTTATCTAAAATATTTCATATTTTTGGGAAATTATGATGAATTCATATACCATCAAGATAAACGAATTTTGGAAAATCAAAACTGTTAACACGAGAATATATGATGATCAAAAGTTAAATGCTGCTTAGCAGTAACACTATTTTTATTTTAAATAATTTTAATCTTTCCTGAATAAAAAAAAAATAAATGTATAACTAAAATAATGTAAAATATATTCCACTTACAATGGGAATTCACAATTCATTTTTCTTGCGTAGATTTAGATAGGAGAGGCTTCCAGTAAACTAAGCCATGGTAGTTTTCGTTGTTAAAAATTAAGTTGGGTTCGGTTTAAGAGTCCTTTTAATTTTAAAATAAGAATTTCTATATAAATAAAAAATTGTAAATTTTAGTGGTTTTCTTCAAGAGTTTTTTCCCGTCCGTTACCTAAAGCATTCATATTAATGATTTCTTAGGATTTCCTCCAAATTCAACGTTACAACGTACAACCGTTGTAAAGCAGGATTACTTCTCTTTCAACCCATACTAATAAACTTTAGATTTTACAGCTTTATAAGTTAGAATGAACTAAAATTTCTTAAAAATTTTTAATTTATATCTTTAGTTTAGTTTGTTTACGGTGGTCGGATCTGTACCATTTCTTTTAGCCTATTTGGCCTTAAATTCCAGATAATTTTCTTGTAAATCGGTGGAATCGTCTTGAAGCTAACAAAAGTTTTGTAAAAAAAATTCCAAGGGGCTAGTCTAGGCAAAAATGTATATTCAAGCTCTTCTGAAAAGCGAAAAACGAAAGTCAACTTTGTTTCTCCCTATAAAAAATCTTTACTTTAAATACCAGACCATAATATAAAAAATATTATATTTCGCACATAGCTATAGAAAGTATCAATATGGCAATGAAGATTTTTTAGAAATGGGGAAAAGTTCCGTTTAATTCACCATTTTTTAAAACGAAGAATCGATATCACCTATGACCTATCGATTTCTCCCAGTAACATAACTCCGAGACAGTTTCAGTGACCAAGGTCACCTCTACCTCGACCTATAATAGATTAATTACTACGTTACGAGGTAGAAAAATGATAGGCACACGAGGTCGTAAGTTTGTGAGTACACTTACATGGTTTAGGTAAATGTTACGAAGTAGTAAAAGTAAAGGATAATAGCAAATACAGAGTTATAAATGATTATATTATGTAATATATTATTAATTTCATCCCCTAACTAACCATTTTATGGAAGATGGCGAGATACATCTCAAAAAGGGTACCAAATAATTTTCCATATTACATATTCCTCTATTTTAATTTAATTAGAAACATATAAAAATAATGAAAAAATAAAATAAAACAATGATTCGGTAACAGACGACTACCATCAATGCAATAGGGGATGAACGTTAATCCCCCCTCTCTCTCCCCAATGGGATGTGGCAATCACCTGCCAATTGTGAGTCAATTCCACAATGAATCCCTCACAAACCACGAATTTATTGACTGAGGTCAGTTATGATAAATGATTATTGGAAACGTTCATATTTCGTTCAAATGCCTTATGGCTACGCAATCTGTACGTATGGTAGAAACCTTTTAAATGTTACTCGGTCACATAGACCATTTAATACATTACATTTCCAATTCTCCAAGGTCAAAATTTTACAGCAAAGGTGAGTAAAAAATTTATAAAGAGAAATCCAAATGTACTACCGGCCTAGCTTAACCTCCTTGCCTTCAACACATCGTGAAATAAGTTTTCCCAACCATACTTTTTTTCTATTCACAATTTTAAGCTGTTTTGGTACCAGACATAATTAAAGGCCGCTTCTTAAAACTGTATTGATTAGGTTTTTTTGTTTTGTTTTTTTGCACGCTAAAATATCGACTATTATAAACAGGTCCTGGTATTACAGCAACAATAAAATATAAATACACATATTATAAGAGGATTGTTGTCAATTAACAGGGAGGATGGAAAACCCATTCCTTTAATGCTTTAACACTCACTTTATCGTGAGCTGACGAGGTGATTTATGAATGACATCTGGAAGAGCAAGGGTATTCACTACAATTAGTGGCCATGGAAACCGATCATTACACCGGCTTTGTTACGGAGTTCACCACAATTAAATGTTTATAACGTGCAATTTTAAAAACGATTTGATAGATAATAACTACAATTTAAAAAAAAAATAGGCATACTTAAGGTTAAAAAAAAATACGTTTATCTACGTCATTTCAAAGAACCTGATGAATACATATTCACTGATAAGAGCTTCCTAACCACCCCACCTCTTTCAAGAAAACGTCCAATAAAAAACATTGAAATTAATGATAAAAATATGTACATAAAAAAATATATATATATAAAAGGAATAAGAATTAATTTTCAGCACTGAACAATTTTGGAATAACAACAATAATTAATGTATTTTGTGAATAAACTTTGTCTTATTAACATCTCATGATAAAATATGGCTTAATTTACATTTTAGTTATTGTCCATTAAAAAGTTTGGAACTAGAATCAAGTTATATTTTAATTTAATCATAACGAAATACATTTAATTTAAAAATTAAAGAGTTATAAACATTTATTATTTTAAACACCGAAATTAATTTAAACACTTCATTTTTTGAATGTAATACATGAAAAAACATAATTAATTTATTTCAAACATTTTTTTTTGGCATCATGTAGTTTTTAAAATTCATGAAATAGGTAAGTTAAACAGACAATCCATCAAAATGAATTTAATACTTACTATCACACATAGTTTTATTGATAAAATATGTATAATTTTCAGGATGACCGGGAAGAAATCGGTAATAAGCCAAATTTTACAGTAACTTTAGTTCTAAAATTTGAAGATTTCGTTACACTTTGTTCACTCCTACTAGTCGAGAATATAGAACAACCGATGAAAAAACATAATCGAAATTCATTGTTGATCTAAGATTTTGAAAAAAAAAAAAAAAGCTGTAGCCATTTAAAACAATTCAGAAAAGGAGGTACTTTTCTAAATCAGTGATAGAATCCCAGATTTGTATTGACCACTAGGACGATTTGGAATCAACAGGCTTCTTCAATATTTTAGTACACAACTAATTAACCTAAAATTATTCTAAAACAGCTGATTGAACATTTAACTAGTCAGATTTTTTTATAGACAAAATTATTATATATTAATATTAACTATGAACCAACATGATTTATGATAAACTTTACCATTTACAAATGGGTTTAAAATGTTAACACTTTGAAATCATACCTATTTTTGGCTTTCTGTTTCTTGGAGGTGAGCTTCCTGTTGACACAGGCCACCGGTGGACCCATGAGCCCCATGCTAACGACACTCAACAATATAAACAAATCACACAAGCGACAACAATCAACAATCACCCGCACAACGACCAATCAACCGCTGACTGACTATTCAACGCCGGGAGGTGGAGGGGATAACGGTCGTCCCCACCCCTCCATGGCCATGCCTCCTTGAGTCGTGTTTACTTCCGCCCCTTCCGGATTCCTCGATTATCAGCCTATCGGCTTTTTGAGTACACATTACCTGATGTTACCTGAGTGTAAGTCACTGCACTTAACTTATCGGGTAACCGGATCTTCTGGTATTGAAGAGATGTTTCAGAAGGAATGGTCGAAACACTCAGCCAAGTACAATATTATGCGAATCAAAGGTGCAAGCAAAAAAAAAGTTTTTGGAGCCTTATCAGACTCATAACCCTCTTCTATGAACTCAAATCGAAACAAGTTGAATGCACATATCTCTTCTCCCCTTCAATAAAGTCACAGAGCTCAAGGTACCCTTTTAGTTAAGAACTAATGAAGGCTTCGACCAGCTAACATCTTCGGTTGATTCACCTCTCAAGTTCACTAGACCGCTATGCTATTTTCTGTATTTTAAGATGCCATTTGTAACAGACATTATGAATAAAAGCATTACTTAAAAGTCTTCACTGCCTCCGATATGTTAACAACATTAGATACTCCGTTTATTAAGATCACGATTTATGACTTCGGCTAACTTCCTAATGGTCATTTTCAGTTACAATCGAGGCATTCCCACTCGCTCGGTATAAAAGGATAAATTAACCCCCAACGGATCCTTTTCAAGCACTCGACCATTCTCGAGATTCCATTTATGGAGTGATCATGGATCGTGAGCCGTTCATCTAAGTTAAGTGACACTTGTGAAGAAATGCCCATACTTGTTTATTAATTACTGAAATCAATACTCTATACATATTGGTAGTGATAGTTTTTACTTTCACTTACGTATATATTTAATATATAGTAAGGGTAAGTATTGCGATCATGAACATTTTTGAATCTGAGTTTTCAACGGAAATACACGTTTTGGGGTATCCTGAATCTAAATAACAACCATTGTCCTTCTTACGCCTACAACCTTCTCCAGTTCAAATCCTCAGTCCATTCCCTGTCCACAAGATCTCGACCTTCTAACCTTTACATGCCTTCTCACAGATCTGCCTCATTCCAAAATTCCTTTATTGTTCGCTCTGTCAATTTCTGGAATTCCCTCCCTATCAAAATTCGACATTCCCCATCCACATCCACATTCAAAACCCTCCTATTCCAATTCCTATCCCAAAAACAGTCAGATAGTTGCTAACCATTCGAGCTGATTTTAATAGAGAATTTGATACATTTTTATTTTTTAATTCTTTATTTTTTTCGTAAAAGTGTATACTGGTCTATAAGAGCAAACAGCTTTAAGTGTCTTGCCATAGTATTAATGGTTTTGTATATAGTTTAGTTTGTTTTGTATATAGAATTTTTACCTTATATTTTTTTTACATTATTTCTTTTTTTCGATTGATTTTATTTTGGCCAGATGTAATATATTAATTTTGTTCTATTTTGTTATTCTCAAGGGACTGTGTCCCAGAATAAAGTTATTTTTCTATTTCTATTTCTATTTCTAAAAAACCAAGTCTCGAAAAATGGTCTGTGTGTTTGTATGTTAGCAGTCTAGCACAAAAACTTAAAAGTCGTACGAAACCGATATTACGTATTTAAAGTAGATATATGCCTTAGATGTGACAGCAAATTTTCCCTTAAAATCGGCTAACCGGAAGTGCCACTTTATATCAACGCTGAAACACATTTATACAGATTTCTCAAAAACGGCTCTGACGATTTTGATTAAACTCGGTGTATCATTGTAAAATTGAATAGTCTTTAATATCATTTAGGTCTTATCTCCGTTGATGCCACTTTAGAGGGCTTTAGCTTTTTTTTAGCTTTAGCTCAGTTAAAAATGCAATTCAAAAATTTTATAATAGCCCAACATGGCCGAAAAATAATTTCAATTCAAAGTTGAGCGGTAAGTGAAAGTTGTGTGTTGCGCGCACCAGATTTTTATTTTAAACACTGGACGTTCAAATAAACGTATGCGTTTATTATTGCCTATATAAAGTTTAACAGTTCAATTTCAAGCAAGAAAGAGATGTTAAGTACTTCAAAAAAAGAAGTATTCAAGAGTAACATCATCAAACTAAAGTTAGCGGACCAAAGGTTATTAATAAGGTGCATTATAGTTTATTAAGAATACATTTTAAATTGAACAATATTAGTAAATTAGATGCAATCACTATACAAACAATAAGCTAATGTTTTTAATTTATTATTAAACTATAATAAATAATTAGATTATAATGAAACGAACTCATCGTCATCCTAAGGTTTTTGGACCATTTGGACTAAATGAAGCTCAGTCATTGTGATAAATCTATTTCAGTCCAACCAAGCCTATAATATGTTTGAGGATGTCTGTTCTAGCTATTTAAATAATTTTGAAATATTATTATAACAATTTGATAACCATTCACAATGATTCCGAAACAGTTTCAACTCTGAGAGGAAAGGAAACAGTAACAACAAATAAACGACAATGCACTGTTTTCACTAACTCCAAGTTATGAGAAACGAAGGAACTCATGCTTTCTCCCAGAAAATCTAGGGGTAAAGAAAAGGGAGTTGTAAAAAGCTGAGACGATCTAATAAGGTAGAGTGAGCTGGTAGGTTGGGGATAACTACACAATCTGGAATGCTACAAAACATGTTACAATAATAGTTAACTGTCTTCATACTGAGTTGACAATAATTTATTTATTTTCCTACAATGAATATTTGCTTAGGTGGATTAATTATAAAAATTGTTCGCAAATAGTTTAAAATAAAATCTGTCATTATAGTGAAAATAATTAATCAAGAAACCTAAAGTCTTCGTTAGTTAAACGACAGTAGATTACTTTTATTTTCATCAAATCATATAAAGAAATTCTCGGCGCGCCGGGATTGCCAAATTTAAGTATAAGTATTTTTAGCAATTTTTTGGCTCCAACGAAGCAGCTTAAGATTCTTAGATTTTATAGAAACTTCGTTAAAAATCAATAAGCAGCTTTAAGTGGGGCACGTCATTCCATTTTAACTATTTTCATCAAACAAAGATTTTTTTTTTTCAATTATATTCGAATGTTTTTCATACTAAGCAAATACAATTGTTATTGACATATTACGAATTATTGACATTTGTAAATTAAATATGATCAAATAAGCCTTTAGGCTCTTGTAGGATTTGAAAGGGCGCCATTTTGAAATCCTACCTGAACCTAAACGCTTATTTGATCAAATTTTAAGTTACAAGTGTCAATAATAGGGGCATTTACCTTATATTTTGTAAATAAAACGAGTCGGAATTATTACTAAGGAATGTTATAAGGTTAAAAAAAAATTGTGACAGTTTTTGTTATGAAGTCGTTCCTGAATAAGACATATGAAGACACAATAATCATCAAAAACAAAAGGGCTGATTAAAAAATAGTTAGGTCCCGAAAGAAGCATAATTGATTATTTCATGATAATTATTAGCTGCTTAATATTAGATACTATGCAGAACTAAATTAAAACATAAATGCAATGTAAGTACAGGACAAGATAATGTATGGGTAATTCGACAATAAATAGATAAATTAAATTTAATAAGTACAGTTCATACATGTATTGGTGTAATTATTGATCTATGTTATCAAAAGGCTTCCAAAATAGTATTATTCATCTGAAACGTAAACTGAGGGAGGTGTAGAAAATATAAAAATATGAAATGGAATTTTTTTTCATCCTACTTATTTAAAATAAAAACCTCGTAATAAATTAAAAAAAAAACATTTAACTTAATATTCAGCTGAATTTAATTAGGCATGTTCTTATAATGAGACATTAAATTAAATCTATATGAAAATGGCCAAGCTAAATTTCTGCTATTATTAATAAGCATAAAATATTTTTAACATTATATATTTATCACATAGAAGGGTGTCCAGAATAAAACCAGTACCCGATCTTAGGAAATGAGTGCTATTACTGAGGCAAATAATGTACTGGACAGAGTCAATTTAGAACAAGTGTTTTTTAATTAGTCAAATAAAGAACTGTATATATCTCAGAATACTGCAACCCATTGAAATAGATAACAATAGTAACTAGTTAACGATGGGGCCCAGGTAAGATGCATACTAAGTCACGTGGCATGACATGAACGAAGTGGAGTGACAGTAATTGAGAGGACTTACGAGGCAGCGAAGGACTCAAGTAGCTCCTAAAAGAGAACTAATCTTTTGGGTCTATAGATTAGAGTGAGGGGAAGGACAAAGGAGAGCGGAACCTGGTGGCATGGCGCTTGTTAACATAAAACCTGTTTTAACTTTTAATATTCAGAAAATTGGAAAAACATCGATTTAATAATTCAGCTTTGATTTTATATGATAATTTTAACCTAAAGTGTGGACAAATAAAAAGCTGGGCTCTTTTATATTTAAAGCACACCAGTGAATTTTTTTATCACTTTAGTGTTTGCACATTTAAGAACAGTTACTACAATTAAGAACAGTTACTTAACATGTGACTAGGGAGTAAACCTAATCAAGAAAAGAATAAAACGTAACTTTATAAATATGTAGCTTATTAAACGCAAATTATTAAATATGTAGTCCATAGCACAGACCCCTGTGTCTTTTTAGTAGTTTAATCTGATTCAAACCTACAAATATTTTATTTACAAAAATTCTCGAAATTGAGGCGTTTTCAATCTGGAGATCGTGAAATTTTTTTACTCAATTAGGTACTAAAAACTCTTGCATTCCACTTGAATCGTAAGATAATTTGAGCACAAACTCGAGAATAAAGGTGGCCTTAAAAAATATTGAGCTCTTTGGCGTTACCTACATCCCCAAAATGTCAAAATAACGAGGTTTTATAGGTCAAACGGTCCAAAATTTTTGTATACCACCTTTTTTTTTATCGAGTTTGTCATGAAATTATCTTACGACCCAAGTGGAAAAGAAATGGGTATATACGAGTTTTTAGTATCAAATTAAATAGACAAAGTTCGCCGACCTCCTGTTTGAAAAAAAAAATAGAGAATTATCGTAAATAAAATATGTGTAGGTTACGAGCTATTTATGAAGTTTTAGCCGGATAAAAATAATTTGATAAAATGGGGTCTGTACCAAGGACTAGCGATCT